GCCCAAACCAAACTTAAATGCACCACTTCCTAAACTTTTGGTTACTAAACTTTCAAAATGCGTGGCAGACCATTCGTTTGGGCTGAGGCGTGTAGCTCGGCTTCACGTGCAAGGGAAGAAATGAACGGCGCCGGTGCTGGCCATGCACGATCAGAGACCACACTACCTTTGTTTGTTTTTTAATGAACCAAATAGAAAAGCTGCTGATTTTATATTAAAAAGAATAGCCCCAAACTGGACGTAACAATAAACAACATATCACCGTGTTCTTTATATTGATTTACTAAAAAAATGATAAACAAGAAGGTATATTGATCCTGATCCATATGTACATTCTGAACCAATTTCTTTTTACTTTAGGAGAGCCTCTGAATTTCAGGGTGAAAACAAATATTCATTTTGGCGTAACAAAATATCCCAAGAAGTAGTTATGTGTTGCTCACGAATTTACATTGCAGATCATGAAGGAGAAGACTATTGCATGAGAAATGCTTGTTCTTCAATCCATGGAGGCGTGCTGATTTCAGTGTAAGAAAACTAAACAAATACATCTGTCACTAAAGTTCCTTGCTGAATCAAATGCTAGGCCGGAACCTCCTTTTAGAACCACAACATATCTCTAACTTTGGATATAATGAGCACCTAGCTATTATGCTTGGCTTAGATAATGTGTCTCCTAGATATCATAAGTAGTATTGTTAGACTTGCAAATGCAAATCTGATTATTATACATAATTGTTTAGTACTCTCCATTGGATCATAGTTTTTTTACCTTTAGCATAGATTCTTTTTCTGTTAGTGGAACAAAAGAAAAGTTAGATTGATTTAGATGGGTAATTTCAACGCATTTAATTTTTTGATTGGGTGCAAATAATGAACTCAGGATAAGGTTGGCCTCGACTCCCTAAGAATCTGTAAATTAGTTTTTTTTATTTTACATGCTACTCCTACTTTTTTGTGATGGGGTATATATTTTTCATCTTATCTGTATGGCGAATTGATGTGATGTGTAACATGTGGTGATGAAACTAATCATATGGGCCCTTTGGAGAGTACCGTATATTCTGTACTTTATTGTAGCGCAGTGTTACTTCAGGTTCAATTGTATTTGTATATTAACATGTTATTCAAATTTATTTGGCAAAGTGTAAGAGAAACTTTATTTTATAAGATAGGAGTATAAGATATTATGTTACGTTCATGCCACTGGCGGAGCCAAGGGTACGTGGCCAGCGGAGGCCATGCCTGCCTGCCGCCCCCCCCCAACAATATAATTATATATATATATATATATAATATATAGTAAATAGTATATGTTTATATTAAAAGAGTATAATAAAAAACTTGTTATAATGTTTATTGATATCTTTTAGACAACAAAATCACAAAGAATATAATTAAAATATTTTGATTTATCTAAAAATTTGTTTGCCTACCATATTATGATATATCTATTAATTTTTTGGTTTATTAAAATACTTATTTTATTATACTTCAGATTTTGAACGTGTATTTAACTAGCAATAACAACTCGGTGATCGTCCCTTTTTATTTTGAATCCTGTGCATGCACGTGCGCACACTCCTATGATAAACACACATTCTACTCCACTATGAGCACTTTCAAAATACTAAGCTGATAGACTTCAAGATTCCTGAGTATTTATATGTGTCCTGTTACGGACAGACACGGTCACCTACCACAGGTATGAGCACTTCCGAAATACTAAGCCGATATATTTCAATATTCACGAGTCATCACCTGCGCGCCACTGTCGATATACATGGTCGTCTACTATATGAACAATAGTGAGCATGGTTAAATCGTCAAATACTAGAATAAATCTAGAAAAATAAGAGCCTAACCTTGAGACAAAAATCTAAACAAATAAAGTACACTTAATTCTCATATTTTGAAATTCTTCGATCGGACCCTCTTATGCATAATTCTCGGCTCCGCCACTGGTTCATGCTATTACAGATTCAGCCTGCCTAGAGCTAAAGCGTATTTTGATATGGTTAAAAAAATTACTAATCATACACAAAGATGAAAAATAAAATTATTTTTAACTATATACGTGCCGCAAGTGCATGTCCACTAATAACATAAACATTCGTATTTTTTTTCTCTGTTTGTAAATTCCATCCATCGATTGACCACCCTGATTTTGTGTTCTGCCTCGTCGCTTGTTTATTTCCCACATGTACACGTGTCATACTTCTTTTTCTGAAGCCGCAGCGGGATGGATTACGCATGCCTGTTTTGTTTTACCTCCCTGCCATTTTTATTGTAAACCACGATAATACACCAAAGGTGCACTGAGTAGAAAACAGAAAATACTCCTAGAAAACAAGTGGGGAAAACATCACGCTGAGAGGCGAGAGAGATAAAAAGCGAGGATATTTTCGAGTACTGAGTTTTGACCAATGACCACTTGAGGCTGGAGAGATGATATTTTTACCCGTGAAAGCCATAGCTTGCTTTGTGTCTTTTTCCCGCGGCTAAAAGGGCGGGGGGGAAATCAACTCGCACTTGTTGGCATCATCCAGCCCAGAGCCTCCCTGTCGTTGCCACCTCCCCACCACACACGTCCACCCGCTTCCCCATCCACCGGATCCTTATATACGCCGGCGCCCGGCGGCCTAACGCTGCCACGCTCGCACCGGCCACCCGGAACTATCTCGTCGGCGGTCAGTTGAGCTACAATTTGGCAGCAAGCTAGTTGCAAGCAACAGCCAATAAATCAAGGACGACGGCGAACGGATCGATGGCCACGCTCTCCTCCTGCAGCCGCCTGAGCAGCGGCACCGGCGCCGCGGCTATCCACCATCGGCAGCCGACCCGTGCAGGAGTCGTCGTCGTCACCAGCCGGCGGAGCTCCTCCGCGAGCGTTCGCGCCGCCGCTGCTTCCACGGCGGCGCCGGCTGCCGTAGGGCAGCAAGACAAGGGGTAAGTGCCTGGCTGTAACAAATAAACTAGAGGCTGCCATCGCTGCTCTTGTAGCTGCTTTGTTGACTGATGCTGGCATGCTGCTGCTGGACATGGATTCCGACTTGCAAGGGTGTCGCTGCCGACGTGGGCGGAGTTCGAGCTCGGGCGGGCGCCGGTGTTCTGGAAGACCGCCAACGGCCTCCCGCCCTCGCCGGTGAGTCGAGTGTGGAGTCCATGCATGCCCATGGTGGATGGTGTTTATTTTCGACGATGGGATCCTGCTTGTGTTAACACTGAATCTGATGATGCGCGCATGGGATGGGATGGATCGGAATTATATTGTTGGCATGCAGGGCGAGGCGCTGACCCTTTTCTACAACCCGGCGGCGACGAAGATGGCCCCGAACGACGTGTTTGGCGTGGCGTTCAGCGGCGGCTTCAACCAGCCCATCATGTGCGGCGGCGAGCCGAGGCAGATGACGCTGCAGGTCCGGGGCAAAGCCGACCCGCCCATCTACACCATCAGGATACGCGTGCCGCAGCACGGTGAGCCGGCCCGCCCGCCCAATCCATCTCCGGCCATCATCTCTCCCCTTTTTCTCACCTGCCTAATTACGTGGAGTACCTTGCTATACGATTATTACCGACTGAAGCAAAGCAAAGCGTCGTTGCTTGCTGGTTTATTTGTTGCCTTTTGCTGATATGATTTGCTGCGCCTGCGACCTGCGTGCGTGCAGCCATAAGCTTGATCTTTTCCTTCACCAACGGGGCCGAGTGGGACGGGCCGTACACGCTCAAGTTCAGGGTCCCCAAGCCATGGCAGAACAAGCCGCTGAGCTTCTTCAACGAGGTGGGTGTCTGGGTCATGCCGGTGCAGGCATGGCCGCATGGACATCAATCAAATTCAAACGCCACCAAGGACTTGGAGCTGACTGTATGTTGTTGCAGGGCCTTGCGGACGAGCTCAACATGGAGGGCGCCTGCGACCGGGCCATCTACCCGGACGAGAACATCACCATCACCAGCTGCGCCATGGACGGCTACCTCGTGGAGGGGGTGGGTTCTCGCCGCTGCTCTGCTCTGCTCTCTAGTCATTCATTCATGTCATGTGATCCCTGCGCTAATATTGCAGGGGGATCGGTGCAAGCTGGACATCGTGAGCGGATGCATGGACCCCGGCTCCGATATTTTCGACCCGCTGGCCACCGTCGACGACGGCTCCTGTCCCCTCGAGTCTGATTCCGAGGAATGAAGGGGGAGCTTCACTTCAATCCTAGGGAGGCAGCAAACGTGATTCATACATATTATCATCAGTATACAAATGTCTGTCAAGTTTGTCATCGTGTGATACATGAAGCATAAACGTGTATGTATTTAACCAGACTACCAGAGTAAAAAACCTCATTGCTGGTGAACAAGATGATTTCCTACTTGCACTAGTAGAGTTGTGGATACTTGGTATCGATCTTTGCAAACTCTGATACAAACCAGTCTAAATAGTGCAGGACTACAGGAGCAGCATGGAACGCCAAATACGCCATGCTCTGATCCGCAGTCCTCCTGGTTCCTGCTCAGCAATGCTGTGAACTAACCTTCTGGATTTGTTCCTCTCCTATGGAACTTTGGAGTTAAATAAAACAATGAACATCGACATGGGCACTTACCGGATGTAGCATATAACTCGTTACAAACGATAGCATGTGTAAGATATGATAACCCTTCCCCATGAATGGAAGAGCAATCGGTTTACGAATCATAGGGGGCACAGCTCTCAACCTTTGGCACAAACAACACTGATCACATCCAATATCAGATTAGGCAGACAAAGCATGCACTTGGATGCAACTGCATGTCTGAAACTGAAACAAACAAGCATAATGCAACCACCAACCGTGCTAGCATTACGGTTCCAGAGTTCAAGGCAACCACAGACGTTAAGGTAACATATCAACATTTCGTCTTGGTTCATTCACTACAGCATCCACTCATAGAGGCAACAGAGACTTGTAACTACAGGAAAGTCCCACTGCATCACACATATCCTTTCCATGCCAAGTAGATCAGCATCTTCAGTCTCCACCAACCTGGCGTTTCCAGGAGTCCTCCACAATGAGCTCGTCTACTCCCCAGTCTTCATAGCTGTTTTAAAACAAAGTAATTAACATGATAAAAAAGTATTTAACAAGGAAAATATAATAAAATCATTCAAAAAAAAGATGTGAGGGCTTTTCATTTGGAAAAAAATCACCTTCCATCAGGTAAGTACCGTCTGATTGTGAAGGGTATCTTGCGCGCTCTCAGCTCCTTCATCGCAATCTAAAATTGTGCAAATACATAAGGATCATTCGAGTACACAGTAGAAAAACTAAAAGTGATGGTAATCAGTTGAGTACACAGTATAAATACTAATCATGAATTTCGTTTATTACAGTTTATCATGCCTTCTATGTAATTAAGTAATTAACTAAAACCATAAAAACCCTTTTCTTCAGATGACTTTAATCTATAGGAAGGTAGAAAGTCAACAATGACATGCTTTAAGAACATCCCAGTATAGATGGCTAAAAAAAGTGTAATCATCTAAATGAGATGGAGGAACTGAAGTATAAACCCACAACCACAAAGCTTTTAAGATTGAAATTGCTATATGTAGAGCAAAGAAAAGATTAGCCCCAAATCCTCTCTATGAATTAGGCCTCAGTATTGAAAACCCACTCTCATTTCATGGAACCTATGATAAAGGCTAATTCCAAATATAGATTTATTTATCAAGTCAAGAGCAAGGCTTGTTGCAGGGATTAAATTAGCAAGCACAGCTCACTGTGCTTGTAAAGGAAAGTGAAAACTTGTTAAGCTATAAACCTTGAGCAAAGGATCACCCGCATGCAAAATATGCAAACCAGGAGAACCATCTATTTAGGCGTGTTCAGAAGTATTGAGGTTCAGAAGTCCATAGCAAGAAGGCATCCATTTATTTTTCTATAGAAAAGAAATGCTCCAAACAAGGATGCACTGCTTTGAGTTCTTAAGTTATTCAACAAGAAGAGATATATCCCCTCCGTTTGCTATCTCTAAGCTAAGCCCGTTCTACTTCTGAAATCCAAGTCTGCATCTATCTCTCTAAGCTAGAAACCTTAATATTCTTCAAGTCAATCTGGCTAGCTGAAGCTTTAGCACAGTAGTTATCACTCAGTACTCTACTAGGAACACGAGAACACGGAGGTGACTACGTGCAACACAATATAAGCAACCAAAGTACCAAACATAATTTTACCAAACGTAGCTTGTTTGTGCAAGAGAACCAAACACCAAGACATTGCATATGTTTATGCTGGTTTGGGCTGTCTTGCATAAGGTCTAATGCAAGCCCAATATGCAAATGTTACCTATGTTGAGACTTGAGACAGTGAAACTTTTCACAAATTAGTAAATACATAGGGGCCAATATGTATGAGATGTCGCAGGAATGACACAGAAGAAGGTAGACATATTCATAAGCCATCCAGCAAATCCAAAGTATGTGTGGCTATCATGCCATCAAACTGATCTACCATTTTTTCCCTCTTTTGTCTAAACTAAAAGCCGAATCAATAGCCATATTATTCAGAAAAAGTAATACATGCAAGGCCCTGTTTGGATGCAAAGTACTTTTTAAGTATTGGAGAAATACTATGGTTTTCAAAAGCTACTGGGTGTTTGGATACAACAAATCTGTAGCCTCTACAACCATGGTTTTGTCAAAATTGTAGTCTTTTTAGAGTTTTAGAAACTTCCCTCATGACCTCTTTTTTTCTAAACCACAGTTTTGTGTCTCTTTGGTTTACAAAGCCACAGTTTTGTGATACTACAGTTTCGAAAACTGCATCATCCAAACAGGTCCTAAATGGCATAATAAAATCTAAAACTAACAAATAGCACAATTCATCTCAAACTAACATACAACACAAAAGGAAATGCAAGCTACCCAATATTCTAGTTGAGAAAAGAATTGAAAAAATCAGTTAGTTTCGTTTCTGCTGATTGATTGTATTTATGACACATTATTACAGCATAATTAGTTTCATTTGTACAATACAGGGCATTCTCAAACAGATATATGTTATTAAATATAAAATGTTTTTGTGATGAACCCGATATCCATTTCCCTGTAGATCTAATAAGAAATTGCCATGGCTAATTATCATACATGACATTCAGAAATCAATCTTCATTTTTGAAAGCAAAGGTGCACTCTGAAAAGACTATTTAAGTTTTGTTAGAATGAATGGAGAACAAGAATAGGTAAATGTAAATCTGAAGAGTTCCGATTTAAAATCTACAGAAAATAAAATTTGACTTTACCTCAAGAGGGTCAGTTTCTCCCTCAAGCTCAACCATGACTGGAGCATTCATGCTGCAAAAGAATAAAGGTTAGTATTAGGTTGGAAGATAGCTTCTTACATGTTCAATACTCTAAGTATTAACCTTATCTGCAAGGCTCGAGTACCCAGAATGCGCGCACGTTCATACTTCGTCATGTATTTTGTTGTTTTGCGCTCACGCTTGGTCTTTTCCTGTTCCTTGTCTTCACCCTCTCCACCTATGACGTCATCAGGGGCATCTTCATTGTTCTCAGGCTCTTCTTCAGCCCCTTCCTGTTCAACAGAAGTACATTGGTTGTATTGGTCATATAAGCTCTTCCTATAAAGGATAAAAGGCGAATAAAACAATAGTAATGTGTCTGCACCTCAATCTCAGGTTCTGCGGGCTCATCCTCGTAGCTGTATAACAAAAAAGAACAGTAAGACCATAAATCCAATAATACAACCATGTGAAACTTAGTATATAAATAAAAATAGACATTTGAGTCAACAGAAGAACCACAAAGAAATGGTGTTCACCGTTATTACGTCTACCAATATTAATGAATATCCCTTAGTGTGTCTAATTTAAATACCCACATACAACACCAAGCAAAGTGACTAAAGGAACCCGACAAGAATTTGAGCCAATAATTTATCACCACTAAGTTCTAACCAACCAACTTACCCTGCATTATTGTCATAGTCCGAAGGAAGGTGACACAAATATAGAGTAGTGGCACCCTTAAATTTCCGAAATAGATAACAAACAAAAGGTACATGTATCACCCTTCACTGGAGGGGAGCTGTGCGATACCCAAGCCACAGAGGGGAGCTGCTACCCTAACTCAAGGATAAACTCGGCCAATCAACTAACCATCAAAGGCACCTTTTATTGCCGAAAACCGATATGAATGAATTCCAACAAGACCGCCCAGCTTTCAACCCTAAACCCGCTCCTCCGCCCCCGACCACCATACTCTCACGAGCAGCGAGAAATCAATCCCAATCGACCCAATTTCTGCCCATAAACCAAGAGAGAAGGTTCGCTCCGTCGAGGCTGAGCCGGGATTGACGGAGATTATGCCTATCGAAATAAAACCCAATAATGCTCCGCTAACCTTTGCGTGACCTGGCGAGACAAGCACCAGAGAGGGGAGGAAGGATGAGGGAGAGATCTAACCCCATGTCGATTTCGTTGTAATCGTCGTCCGCCATGGCTCCGGCCGCGCAAGCGCCGCTGCTCCTGTGGTTTGCTTGCTAGGGTTTTCGCCGCCGTGCGGCTGCGGGGAGCAGAGGAAAGTAGTAAACTGGAGGAAAGGGGAGACCAGACTACCAGAGTCCGGAACCAAAAGGGTGGGCGTCTGGGCGATCCTACGCTTCGCAACACGAATCTTAACACAAAATTTTGCACTAGGTCCGGAAACGTTTTACTTTTTTCTTCTTCTTTTATTATTCACTAGCAAATTTGCCCTGTACGTCGCTACGGATGAATACCAGATTATTCAATTCAATGGCCCCGTTCGCTTGTCTGAAAAAAAGAAGCTAAAATACTGTAGAGGCTGGTTGTGTGAGAGAGAAATACTGTAGCGGCTGATTGATGAATAGTGCCGCTGTGAGGAGAAACCAGCCGGCTGGTCTGGAAACCAGCCAGGCGAACGGCACCAATATGTATATTTTTGGTCAACTTTTTATATAACAATTAAAACTGTAATAGTTTATTGTGTAGTTACCTAGATGATTTGTGTATCGGCAGATTTATCCAACGATCTGTTCGGATAGCATGATCTGTTCGGATATGTCCTGGACATGTATTGTTCTAGGTCATGTGTGCGCAGGTCGTAAGTGCAAGTTATATCCGGGACATGAAGAGGCGTAGGGCATTGCAGGAAGTAAAAAAGATAATTAGAAAAATAACATTTTTAACTTTCATACTAAAAGCAAAATATGGCTGTGTGTTGCAACATAACATATACCTTATGACATAAGGCCATGCCGCTTGAAAAACGTATACCTTATTCTGCTCTATCTCTTGACGTGTGTGGCTACCACATCCGTTACTTTAATATAAATCGAAAGACCTAAAGTTGTAAATATTTTTTGAAATAAGAAAATACAATGAAACCCACCTCGAAAAGTAGATTTTCACAATTTATTTAAATATATTATTATTTAATTTTGGACATTTTTTTGTTCTCTATATAATATATTATTATTTAATTTGGGCAAATATATTATTATTTAATTTAATGTGGGGCAAGCCGGCTACCGAGGGCCTGTTCGTTTGAACTTATCAGCCAGCTTATCAGTTAGAATCTACAGTATTTTTCTCTCACAACAAATCAGTCAAAGCCGACTTATCCGGCTTTAATACGAGCCGAACAGGGCTGGTTCTTTGCTACTTTGACGATGAGTATTATTATTTTTATATTATATTCTTTGCTACTTTGACGGAGTGTATCTGTGCGGACCCGTGGCCGGTTATCCGTCGATCATTTGAGTTGAGCAGGTTTGGACCGGATTTGTCGTAGTAAAGGGAGGCGGACGGGCGCAACACAGGCTTGAAGCAGATACGGCTAATCCGGACTGGAGCGGAAAAATATACAATAATACCGGAGCATAGGAAGAGGCATAAAAAAAGTACAATAAAAATTTTGACTCTTTATTATTAGGGAATCAAATATGTATGGGAATCGGACTTCGTATAATCACTAAACATTGTTTTAACCTGTACGAGCGTCGGTCATGAGTCCATTTCATAATATAGATTCGTAAGGCATGGCCTAACACGTATCGGAATCGGTGTGGAGTTTCGACCAGTTGAGCTGAGTCGAATGAAATTTACCAGAAAAATTTTAGCCCTTTAAAGTTTGTATATATAGGTGTATATATATTTAGATAGATATTTTGAAAAATAAAAAGGAAAAAAGTCCAAAACAGGCATGGGAAAGAACGGAAAAAAACGGACATGGAAAAAAAGAGTCCAATGTCGGACGTTCATTATTATTAGGAACAAAAAAAAATGGACGTGGAAACTGAAGGCCAGAACATCGGCTGTCGGAAAAATGTAGTCCGGACTCAAAAAAAAAAAATCCACGTAAAGAAAGATGAGTCGCACATGAAACGGGAAAAAAAATCAGCATCCGTAGGCTCAACGAAAGATTTTGTGGTTCATATCTATCTAGGTCACCTCCACAACCAATGCATGTCATATAAAATAGAGGGCTAGAGACAAACGGGATGATAGACAATTTCAATTTCCACATCCACAGTTAGCTAGGGGACGATGGACAAAAAAAAATAGTTGAAAATTTTGCCTCTTTATTATTAGGTATATGTATATAGACTTTTTACATTAGAAAAAAAGTATTTTATCTTTTACCATGCTATATAGACCGTTACCGTTCATCTTGTTCGATTGAGCTACTTAGCAAATATATATCCCAACGAATATTATTTTTTTAAATCAGAAATCCCGTGAGCCTCGGGTGGAAAGAACCTACCAAATGACTGGTGCATGTGTCACCTAAAGCTGGTGCGCAACATGAGCACAGAGCGGCTCAGACCGTCTCCAACAGAACCCACCCAAACCCAAGACGTGTTCGCCGGTTTGCGTTGTGCACAGTAAAAAGGTCCGTGACCCATAACCTCCCTTCTCCAACAGCGGACGCAACAGAGCGTCCTCTTCCCTTCCTCCTCTCGCGAGCCCTGCCGCCTCTTCCCTTCCTCCTCTCGCACACAAGCACAACCCCCGAGCTCCCATCTGGATCAGAGCGGCGGCAGCGGCTCGATCCCACCCGACGGCGCCCTCTCCCCTCCACCTCGAAAGCCAGCGGCCTTGCCCAGCTCCCTTGCCGACAGATCTCGTGGATCCATCGAGGAGGCTGCAGATCCGGCGGCCATCCCCAAGGCGACCGCGGCCACGGCGCGGCTTCCCCTCCCCCATGCCGACGTCGACTGAGGCGGCCTTCCCCCATGTCGATGGTGACTGCGGCGTCCCTCCCCCACCCCCGATGACGATTGCGGCGCCTCCTGCGTCCCGCCTCGCCATCGTCGTCCGCGGGCTGCTCCGAGCTCCGGCCCTGGCGTCGCTGTGCCCGGCGAGATCTGGACCCGCCGAGATCTGGACCCGCCGCCACCGTGCGGGCGAGCTCCGGCCCTAGCCTCACCGCGTCCGTGCCGGCGGCGCTCTTCTCCGCGGGCGGCCCTTGCCTCACCCCTCCCCTGCTCCCTCCGATGGCCGCCGCAACCCCTCCCCTGCCCGATGCCGCCTACCCCTGCTCCCTCCGATGGCGGCCGGGCGGATCCGGACTCCACAACGGCAGCCGCACCTCCACCAACCTCCATCGGCCCCGCCCCTGTGCCGAGGCCCGGTGTCGGTTGCTCCTCCCTCTCTCTCTGCAGTGTTTTGCGTCGTCGAGAACGACGACGCTTTTTTGCCTTTCGTCACGGCTGCTACGCAAAATGGCTGCCTCGATTGCGTCCTCCGTTGGATCGTAATTTTAGGACGTAAAAACACTGTACATGAGGCATTTTGTGTTTGGGTCGCCCGTTGCGTGCGCTGTTGGAGACAGTCTCATGGATTGAAGTTTATGTAGTATTTTCATACATCCAACAAATATCTTTTCTGGGCAGAAATATACATCGATCGATATGTGCATTATTAGTTGCACAAATAAATAAAAAAATATAAATTGTTGAAGCATTCCCTTGTCTCGAGGATGCCGGAAGTTGTAAGTTGAAGTTAAGATATTTGTCATGTTGGACACATCATATTGTGGTCCATTTTGCACTGTTTTCTAAATGAAAAATGTATCTACAGTAATCTATTATCATGTGTTGTGCGTTACATTATTTCGTTTGAATTTAATACATATACATATTACATGTTGTTTGCTACAAGATCAATTTAGTCAAACCTTAAAGACTACAAAAACATCAATTTTAAAACTGTTTTACTTAAAAATGTATGCTATACTTGCAAAGTTGTATTGCAAAGACTTAAATGTATGAGCAGTCCCTGAGGTTGTCAAAGGGGTGCCATTTTGGTTCATGAAATTTAAAAACACATTTTTAAGTCTCTAAATTTGTTAAGTGGTGCACCACAGTAGTTGGTATGATCCAGAAATGGACCTGTAGTGCACCATTTTATAAGTTTAGGGATGTGCGGTATACCACATAACAAGTTTAGGAACCTATAAATGCGTTTACAAAGTTCGTGAACGTAAGTGCCACTCTTTGACAAGTTCAGATGCTACTGATGCATTTAGCTCTATTGAAAAATACTTGCAATTGCAATGAAATTTATGATTTGGTGATTCTGGTAATTTATTCTAGAAAAAAGTTATTTAATGGGCAAAGATATACATCCAAGACCGTACGAGCAGGGGCGGAGCCAACAGCCAATTGGGGGGCGCTCGAGCCCCCTACCTATACCGGAGCAGTGGAACCCCTATAAATTTTTAGGCAAAGTTCTATAGTGTAGGTGGGGCTGAGACTTAAGATCAAGCAGCAGCCGGAGATATGTGTTGTTTAGCCCCCCGTAAAATTTTTCCTGGATCCGCCGCTGCGTACGAGATCAAATATGGCAAGCATTTTGGACGGAATTGAGTATATGGATCACAGGTCATGGAGACCTACCACGGATTTACATGCATGTGTCTGCCACAATCAACCAAAGCATAGGATTGTTGTGCATTAGCAATTAGGAGGAAAAGCTAAAGCTCTCCTATGCATCTGATGATGGTGCATGCATGGACATGTATGTCAATCCATGCACGGCTGCCCCATGGGGCTCCCCACTGATTTTTTTTCTTCCGCTTCTATATTTCAAGTGTCTGAATTTTAAGATAATTTTAAACAACACTTGTATACCACTAATTAGTACAAGTAAATTGTTACTTTTATTATTTGTTATTTGTCTTTGTGTTAAACATATTAATTTTTTGTCCTTGTCTGACTATAAAAACAATTATAAATTAGTAATTGTCTTTGTACCTATACAAATTAAATTGTCGGATTTGTGGTTTTGTCTTAGAGGTTTTTTAATCTTGGAACAAAAAATTGCATATTGTGCCTCCAGAAATTACAACAAACTAAAGATGTAATTTTGATATGAAATATATACAATAACCATCACCTGAAAGAAAAACTAAAATTCAGGTACCTGAAATTTAGCAAGTCCCATTTTCTTTCTTCACACATACTCATAGTTTCAT